CCATACATCACCATACACCCATACATCACCATACACCCATACATCACCATACATCACCATACACCCATCAGCGCACTAGTTTACGGAATTTTGAGCAGAAAGGTCATTTCTTCGTCTATGGTGTGCGGGCCAGTAGAGCCTCTTTATCTCTGAGACCCAACTTGGTGGGAGTGACGCAGGAACCAAACTTGGTGCCACCACTCACCACCCTAGGGCCAAATGTCCCCTCCCACCCCCAGAAAGAATCAATCCCGAGCATCCCCCCCCAGTGAGTAATGGGGCTCCAGCATTGATGTCACCTCAGACATTTCAGTGATGCTCCGCCCTCCCTCTCTGGCCGTGTTGAATGCAGGTGACTTTGATTGGCTGAGGCAGCTGAACTCCCTCCCACCCCCGGCCACCACCCCCCAGGCTCCAGCTCACCCTCAGAGCTCCCTAAGAAGCACATTCTTACAATGAATAGCAGGCTTGTTAACCCCCCTCCCAGAAAAGCAGGCCTTTGTGAGAGATGTGTGCATGAGCCCCATGAGATGCGCCTCCCCGTGAAAATCCGCTCAGCCTGGCCACGGAACGCTCTCACCGCCATCGTGCCTCCTTAGCGTGTGTGTGTGTCATTCGGTGCCTGGTGAGTCCGCGTGTGGTGAGTCCGCGTGTGGTGAGTCCGCGTGTGTCGTTTCCAGTAGGCTGCCCCCGAGCTCCTTAGGGGCAGCTAGCGGATTAGTCAGAGTGACCCGAGTCCCAAGAGCAACGGATGAGATAAAAAGTAAATAAAAGGAGGGGGCTAATTACATAATCAGTGACTCCCCACACCCAGCCCCTCCCCGATCATGGTTCCCACCGGCCAGTGGGCTATGGGCGGCGGGCGTTTCTCTAACATGCCATGCCAGCTTGGGATTGGCTGGGGTGGGTGTTGATAGAAGCCAGGGATGCGACGTGGAGGGTGACTTGGGTGTAATAATGCCCCCACCCCCCACCTCCGACCCCCCACATATACGGGAGCTTCTGGCAGACGTCAGGCACTGAAGTGTGTAGATCCTCCTGGTTTTATAGAGATTAGACAGAGAGGGAGGACGTCGTATGCTGGAGACACCCATGGCAATAATACTGTGTCCTGTTCATTTGTTTGGCCTGAGCTCCAAGCAGCAGGCAGCAGGCAGCAGACAATCCCAGAAATGTGCATTATTATTGCTATTATTTTTGTTTTTACATTTACTCAAATTTAACTTTGTTCTGCAGTTTTGTGTTTAATGGCAATGGGAGGGAACCATCATGTGCTGTCAATCACGTTTAGCCCAATAAAGTGGGAGAAGAGGGTTAAACTTGTCGGTGTAAAATAATCCTGCCCATCATGAGATAATCCAGCTCATTGTAAAATAATCCCTCCCAGTATATGATAATCCCGCCCAGCATATGATAATCCCGGCCACTGTGAGTTTGGAAGGTGGAGTCCTCCCATTAATGTTGTTCGGGTTTAATAAGATCCAAGCCGGTTAAGCTCATTACTCATCGGTACAACATTGCAGCCTTTAAGGATGCGAGCCAGAACAGCGTGGATTACAGGGCACCTCAAGCTGACCTGAAATGCTGAGAAAATGCAGGATGAACGTGCCTGTGGGAATCGGCGGTCTCTGGGGATTAATGAAGCTCAATCCCTTTGGTGGAGGCGGGGGGGGGGGCGTGAAGGGATGTGGAGAGAGTTTTAATTAGCGACTGAGGCTTTTGGCAGGGGAAAAAAAAATCACCCTTAGTTTCATTCAGGGTCCCTAGTCACATGGGTCTGCCGGCCCTGGGAAGGAGAGAGATGGAATCCAACAGAAGGAGAGGTATTTACCCCCCCCAACCCCCCTTTGGGAGCATGGGGGGAACTTTGGGGCAGATGAGGTCACGCTCAGGGTTTGGACATCTGCTGGTGAGCTTTAATGCCGGGGAGGGGGTGGACAACAACCTAAAGGCCGTCAATCTCCTAGTCGAGATCCCATTTCATCTGCCTGGACCTTATTTTCATGTGCCGCTGTTTATCCAAAGGAGACCTACAGAGATAACGCCCTGTCGGGACCTATTTATACTGACAGCCACTTCCTGGGGAAAAATGTGTCCTCGAGTGTTTCGACCAGCTTCTGAATCTCGCCATGGAAGCCATATCAACGCTCTGGATCTCCTGGATCTGAGAAGCTTCACTGACTGCAACACCAGCCTGAGCCTGAACTCTCAGTGGGAAATAAACCTTTTTGCTAAAGGGTTGGAGAGTATGAAATGCAATCATCACGTTTGTTCAGGTTAGACTATGCCAGTCCCAGAGCTGACAGAGAGGAGAATCGGTTCCGATTTGCTGACGGGCTTGCTTGGCTGGCACAGGCTTTCTTCTGCCTTGGTTATAATTTTGAGCCCCCCCCCCCCCAGACCCCCTCCAGAAATCAGCAGCTGAGGAATTTGCTGGAAAGCATCCCAGGAAGGCTGGCCCCAGGCTTCACTAGCCTGCTGCAGATGCCTCGCCCCAAAAATCTTGTTCATTTGAGGATACAGTGAGGTCTCGCCTTTCGAGGCACGGCCTCTGGCCTCAGTACCCTGGGGGGGCAGCCTCGAACCAGGGAGGCGTGAACTCGCAGCGACCCCTCTGCATGCGCACGCCCTCTGGAATGCAGCATGGGACATGTCTGGCCGGGACGCATGATGCATGGCTGGGGGTCACAACCCCACCCTGCACGCCCCGGTGCTGTTCCTCTTCTTTCCCTTCCCTGACAAATCAACTTTTCTGTTTGATACATCAATGCTTCTCCACAGTCCAGTCCCAGACACTGAACACCTGGTACAGGTGTGCTGGAAGGTGGGAGAGAGCCGGTCCCTGAGGGCCGGCCTGAGAAACACTGTGATACAGGATACGGGCCTCAGTCTTTTGTATGAATTAAAGGTTCTCAAATTTACCAATACTGCACTTGACTGAAATGGCTGATATTCTCCATGTGTGTAAACATAACACTAAAAACCATACAAAGTGAAATAAAGCGTTATGCAACTGTTTCATAATACCACTCAGCCTTATTCAATCTGATTACTGCTAGTCATTAACTTAAAACCCCCATCTAGTATTACGATACATCCTCAGAAATTCGAACATGGTCCCCTCTCATCGCCATTAACCCTATCCCTGGCCTGTGTTGGTTCTGAGGTGTTTGCCTCACTTGGGCAGTGCCTGTGTTTCTGGATGAGCTAAGGTGTGGGGAGACCTGGTTCTGAGACCGTCTGGACCAGCCATAGAGCAGGAGCCTAGAATGAGAGTGTTCCAGGTGGTTCTGTGGGCTTAGGGGTGCCAATAGGGATACAGAATGAGTAACCCACTCACAGAACTGTAAAAACGTGACTTGGGAATCATCTTTCTGACAGAATCCCGGGGCTACGTGGAGACCATGAGCCACGGCACCACGTCTCCTGATGATGATCTCTTCCGGACAGATGCATCGGGGGTCTCCACCTGCCAAGGGCCGTTCGGACCGGTGCGCTCTGTCAACTCGGGGAGTCCCCTCCTTTCACGGACAGAGAGGTATGATATTGCCCCCCTAGTTGGGGGTTTGGGGATTGGCTCACGTTCAGCCACCTGTAAAAATGAATCGTGGGGATCCAGCCCTGGGGTGGGCGTGTCTGCACAGAAGTCCAGGGCTGATTTTTAAGCCCAGTTCAGCTCTGGCAGATCATGTGAATGGAAGGCATTTCCAAAAACCAGCAGATATAAGGCAGAGAACAAACAGGCCGATTGTTTGCCATAACTAAGAATATTCTTAGTTAGATCCCCAAGGTGTGTCCCACTCCGCACTCTGTGGTCCTGCAGGGGAATTCGGGAGTGGGTCATGTGGGCACCAGTAACCCAGTGACCCCTGCCCTGTTTCCTTTCCAGCCCATCTTCCCTGATTCAGCAGTCCTCCCTCACTCGCTTCACACCTCCCTACCCCGGCACATCCGAGCTGTCGCCCCCCGCCCCCAACTGCCACAGTTCTCCCCGGGGCACCCTGCACGGTCAGGGAAGGGGCCTGAATCAGGCAGATGCCACAGACCTGCCCTCGCTGCTCGGGAACGGGAGCCTGGAGAGGAGCCTGCTGGAGGCCATGGAGGGCCTGGGTGGGATGCAGCCCCCCCTGCCAGAGAAGCGCCGCATCTCAGAGGGGGAGCACTCCCTGGGCTCCGGCTCCCCCGCTCTCAGTGGCTTCTCCAGCCCCCACAGTGGCAGCACCATCAGCATCCCTTTCCCCAGTGTGCTCCCGGACTTCTCCAGCCGGGCTGTGGCCACCTCCTCGCCGCTCCCAGGTAAAAGTTTGCCTTTAAGGTTCTTGTGACTTTTACTGGCTTTGTCGCTCCTGCAAAGCTTAGCTGCTCCCACAGACACTGTGACTCCCAGAGGCTCTACATCTCCTACAAAACTTAGATACTCATAAAGGCTCTGAGACTCCCAAAAAGCTTACCCAGTGATAGTACTTCCCTCGTAGCTCAGAGACAGTGATCTCTAGATCGTCTAGATCTCACCAGCTGATCCTGGCCGCATGTTTGTTTTGCAGACTTGCCGGCCAGTAAGCCGATGACAGTGAAGTTTGTGCAGGACACTTCAAAGTTCTGGTACAAGCCAGACATCTCGCGGGACCAAGGTACACATTTGTTTTCATGGGATGTAGCACCGCCAGAAGGATGTACTGTTCCATTGAGACCTCTGCATTATCCACGGCTGTGCAATTAACTCCAATGCCAT